CCTAAGATTGCCCTGAAGCTTTCTTTTTCCTTTTCCTTTTCTTTCTTTAGTCACTCTTCTCCAGTGGCTTTCCTAAGTGCGCATGTCAGTCCGGAAAACACCCGGACTGATGATTTAAGGAGGCGTCAACAGTCCTCAGAACTGAAAACGTCTGCTTTATGATTGGCTGCCTTTCACCTGTTGAGAGCCCTTAATGTTTATTGTTAAGGATGTTTCAAAGTAGATGTTGAGCTGTTTTTATAAAAGGTCAAAAATAGAAATCTTTTCCGAGTTGCTTTTGGGTTTAGCCACCTTCAAATACATTGTATCTCCCCTGCCCCTCCTTTTTCTTCTTCTTTTTTTGTTAGTGTATTTGTGAAAGTTTTTTCAGCTCTCTGTAAGCTTTTCCCAAACAATGATGGAGACTAACCAATCATACAATTCAAATACAGGGTAGCTCCTTCTTCCTTCTTTAAAAAACTGGCTTTGGGGGAGATAAAACGAGGGTCAGGAGACCTGAGTTCTCATAAAAACTTTCTCTATTAGGAGTTTTTGCTCTTGGATTGGTAGCTAACCTCTTTGTGCTCAGTTTCTACATCTGGAAAAGGTCTCATAAGGATAGTCTGGGAACAAATACCTGACATTCATGTGGAAGTATTTTGAGCTTTGCAGAAAGCCTCTGAAAGAATGCAAGGCAACATGCTTAGCTATAACTGACTAAAAGTCATCTGTATCCATTTATCTTTGTGAGGATAAAAGGAGACGAATAAAAAACTCCTAGCCCAGTGTTTGGCACAGAGTAGATGCTCAATAAAACTCCAATTTTCAATGCTTCCCTTCTTTTTTCACTCTCTTCTTGCCTTTTCACTAAAATGCTTTTAGTTTTTCTTTGCTGACTTATTCAGACTTAGCTCAGAACAATCTTTAATTTACAGAAGCATGACCATATTTTATATTCTAGGATATTTATATTTGTGATAATGCAAAACTAGAAATAGGACAATGTCACCATGCTTATACTGTATTATTTTAGATAACAAACAAGCTAATAGGTCAACTGTAACTGGCAGAAAGGAAAGAGACAGACCTTGAGAAGGCGCTGATTAGGGCAGCACAGGGTGGTCCCAGCCACACTGATTAAAGGGGTGGTGGTTTGGGTCTAACTGAAGCTGACCTCCCACTAACTTTGTGCTAATGGAGCAAGAGGCTTTGGCTTGTCTAAATTTTGAAAATGCCTATATTCTCTCCCCCCTGATACTATAGAGTAATTTGTGATTCTAATGTTATTACACATTCTTTTTTAAAAAAAACAACAGGCACGTTGTTATTATTAATAAGGAGAGATGTTTGGAGTACTCTCCAATAAATCATTGAGATGTTCTGAACGGAGATAATTTTATGTCAATGATCTTGAATATCTTTACGCTTCAGAAAATAATTTAAGCTAAAAGAGTTAGCAACCAGAGTTGACCTCTGAACATCAGCCTTGAGCCCCACTGACAAAGGCCTGGCAACGCTTCTGCTTTCGGAATCCTCCCTCCTGACCCTCCACCCCCACATGGTAAAAAATGCCAACCCGTCTCCATCCATACCCAGTTACAACCGGTAACTGGCTGAAATTTTGTTCTGTCAAGAAAAGTAAAATTAGATCTTATACAGAAAAGGGATTTTCTTTCATCAGTTTCAAAAGAGGAATGAAATGCCTTTTTAACAAGAATAGATAACGGTAGGGATTTGAGCTCCAGGAGGAGTCCAACCAGGTCATTGGGCATTTCCCCTAGCCCCCAGAAGAGGAGAATTTTCTGTGCTGGCCGATTTTGAAGGGCTGACTGATGCTTGGCCAAGGGCAGAGACCTCTGGCAGGCTCTGGGCTCCGGGCTCAGGGGAGCCTGCCGGAGGACACCTCCCCGCCAAGGCCACACTGCATGAGCCAGAAGACACAGGCTGCTGCAGATCTGTGCTCATCCACATTCTCCCTCCCTCTCTACATCCCTCTTCCCCATCCCCAGACTCTTCCAGAGGCGGAGGGAAATACCTTCAGAGAAGCTCTGGAGCTTTCAGGTACCCCGTTCCCGTATTTCCCCGAGATGATCCCACAGGCCAGTGGAGACCAGGTCATTGCTCCAACTCCTGCAGAAGAAAAACAACTTGAAAAGCTGCTTGTAGGGAACCAGGATCCAAAGTGTGGGGGTGTTTAAGCAGGATTGGTTAGTAGTGGGGAAAAGCCGGACACATTAAAAGAGCTCACACCAACATGCATCTTTCTATTAAAGTGTAGGCATTGACAAATTGCACTTCATTTTTTATAGGCCAATTAAACGTGCACAGTCATAGGGAGTGGACCATATAAACAAGCCTGAAACTGTGGTTTATTCATGTCCAAACGTCACACTTCTTTTTACTCAGACCCAAACGCCTTTACATGCGCGGAAATTCAGTGCTTTGCTTGTCCACTCAGTGTCTAGTGCCTGGTACGTACCAGACGCACAATTCCTAGTGCATGGTAAACACACAATGAGTGACAGCAATAATAACAATTGTTATTGTTGACTTTTTTTTTAATCCTTCTTCCCCTACCCAGCATTTTCCTGCTCATGTGAACCTCTGTTTCTTAGGAATAAAATCATCTCTGAAAACTGTTTATTTAAATAAATAACCCTGAAAATGTGGCTTATTCATGTTTTTCTGATGTCTACAATTTTTGTGTATATGGTGTGTATATATTTCCCCCCTCTCGCTGACATCATTATATCCACCTACACAAATATGTAGTGCCTGGCTTGTGAGCTGTCCTGGAATTCCATGTGTGACTTAGTTCCAGGCACAGAGTGGGAGATAGAGATGTATATATCCATATTCT